ACCCAGAAGCGCGCACACGTCCTTAAACAGGCGCGAGTCAAAGTTCCGACCTTGGTCGGTGTGTAGGCTTGTTGGTGCCCCAAATCGTGACACGAATTCGCCCACAAAAATCGACGCTATGGTCGCAGCATCCATAATACGTAGTGGGTAGGCTTCGACCCATTTTGTGAAATAATCCACAATGACGAGAATGTGTTTGTTCCCGTTTGCTGTTTCAGGTAAGCCCGGAATCAGATCCATGGCTATCCTTTCGAACGGATACCCGCTCCAAAACACCTCCAAAGGTGCACCACGTCCCCGCCTGACAGGCCGAGAGCGCCTCGAACAAGACTCGCAAGTCCCATTCCAGTCTTCAACGTCACGTTTCATTCCGTGCCAGTACAGTTTGGTCCGAAGCAGCGCCAATGTCCGCTTTCTTCCCACATGACCCAAAAAGTCATGGTACTCTTTCAGGATTTTGGGCCGCATTCCTGCAGGTACCAAAATCTGAAATGTGCGTTCTGCCGTGCTTGAGTCGCACCATGATCGCCCAATCACTCCCTCCCGAATGGAAAGAAATTGGCGTCCCTGCCAATACTTGCGCAGAGTGGGACTTGCCCCCGTCAAATTGACATCTTCAGGGTTTAAGTTTAAGCATTCTCGCAGGAGTGCGAGATCAGTGTCTGCCTTTTGGGCGTCAGCCCAATTTAGCATAGTCCAGTCCTCCCGTTGGATAAACGGTGTTGGAATAGTCGTATCTACGACTGCAGCCACAATAGTTGCTGACTTGGATTTCTGGCGGGATAATCCGTCAGCATTTGCATGTGCTTTACCTTGGCGGTATTGCACATCATAGTCAAATTGATGCATGAACTCCATCCAACGAGCAATGATTGCCGAAGGATCTTTGAATGTCGCCAAGTGCAACAGAGCTTTATGATCCGTTCGAATCACAAAACGCTTACCCAAAAGGTAACAGCGGAAATGGCGCAAGGCCCAGACTACACCCAGTAGTTCGCTTTTTGTAGATGCATAACGTCGTTCTGCACTACTGATCAATCGACTGGCGAACGCCACAGGTCTTTCGACTCCGTTTTCATCACACTGTGACAAGACAGCGCCCAAGCCGTTACCGCTTGCATCCACATCGAGGATGAAGGCAGGTGCATCACTACCAAACCGGGGGTAAGCCAATATTGGAGTGTCTGTGAATTTCTGCTTCAGAGCTGTAAAAACAGCCTCGCATTCGTCGGTCCAATTAAATGAACGTCCCTGCTGTGTCAATGCTGACAATGGTTTGCAAATACCCGAGAAGTCTTTTATGAACCTCCGGTAATATCCGCAAAAGCCCAGAAATGCACGCACTTCTGCCACGTTCTCCGGAGAGTCCCAAGCAACGATTTTCTCAACCTTCGCTGGGTGGGTGTGAACACCGCTGTCTGAGACAATATGTCCCAGGAACTCAACTTGCTTACGTAGCAAGAAACACTTGGAGGGTTTCAGGCGTAAGTTCGCTGCAATAAGCCGCTGAAACACAGCCTCGAGATGTTGCAAGTGTTCGTGAAACGAACGACTGAACACGATGATATCATCAAGATATATCAAGCAGATTTGCCACTGCTGTTCCTTGAGAACGGAACTCATCAAGCGTTGGAACGAGCTAGGCCCGTTGCATACCCCAAAGGGCATCACATTGAACTGATAGTGTCCATCAGGGGTAGAGAAGGCAGTCTTCTCTTTGTCCTCTTCTGCCATAGGCAGTTGGTGGTACCCTGCACACAGGTCTAGGGTGGAAAAATATTTCGCACCGTCCAGAGCGCCAAGCGTCTCCTCAATTCGTGGAAGGGGATACGGGTCCCGCTCTGTAATAGCATTCAGCTTGCGATAATCAACACAGAATCGTGTCGATCCATCCTTCTTTTTGACAAGAACGATAGGTGACGACCAAGGACTAGTAGAGTCTTCCACTAGCCCTTGCCGTTTCATATCTTCAACAAGCTCGCGAGCAGTTTCACGAGAGTTCCATGGCATACGCCTAGCAGCCTGTGCAACAGGACCACGATCACGTGTCTCAATGGTGTGGTGTAGCACCGAAGTGCGACCAAGCTCAGATGGGTTCAAAGCGAACGCATCTCGATACCGAAGCACTAAGGCTTGCAAGCAGTGGATCTCCTCGCAGGAGATACCAGATTGTCCCAGAGATGTCTCATTACCATCTCTTCCGACCCCCACTTCCGTGTGTTCCAGGTCCGAGTCCCAGCTCGTCCACACACCTAGGCTCCAGGATCGAGTCCAGCTCGTCCAACCTACAGGCTCCAGGGTCGAGTTCGTCCTCGCCCAACCTCAAAGGTTCCATGGATGAGTTCGTCCTCTTCCAACCTTTCCGGGGGTCCACAACCGGACATCTTGCGCCAATGCGCAACTGCTTCCAGACCCCGAGAGAGTCCTCCGTCTCAGCTATTTGAACTGATTCCTCTCCCTGGCCATCAGCCAGAGTGTCTTCGGTCACGATACTCACGACCTCAGATATTGGTTCTAACCGACCAATCTGCATTGCCCTCTCTAGAGCCACTGCCTCGTCAGAGTAATTCAACACCCGTACGGGAACACCATCCACCGTAGGGCTCACTAGCGCATGCGCCATCATGACATCATTCATTCCTTGAAAACACCCATCAGGTATCGTCAAGGCACAGGTCGGCAACCCTTCCGACGTGTCTAGCACGGCGTTAACCGTCACCTCCGACAGGGGAGTATCACTTCACGCCTCCGCAAGCGAAGAACGTGCTCTCGTTTGCCATCACCATCATGGCTCGGCGGAACGACATCAGCTTTAGAAGCTTTTAAAAATGCACTCCTCCATCACCCGAAGTGATCTCGCAAGGAATTGGGACAGCACATCGCGTCCAATGTCAGAACCAGTAACCAACATCATACTCAGTACGTGACGAAACACCACAGGGTGCGGACGTCGCGACATATCCGACACCAAACAGGCATCGTCCAACACAGAAATGCTGGTTTCAGGTGGGCATCAGCTCACTAGTGATTTCCATCACACTCCAATCAAAACATTCGAGATCCGCATCAACGAACTCAAATCAGCAGTTGTTCAAGCTCTCTGCAGAACTTGTTACTGTATCATCGTTTCAGCCAGCATCTCAACTGGTGCGCCCAGTTTCGAAATCTGGCTTCGTGACTCCGTCACACGACAAGGACATAGTCCTCTTGACTGTTTTTGAACC